GTACTAATCCTCCCTGAACACCCCATATACAGCATAGTGACTGACATATACTAGGCACTTAATAAATGCTTATGGGTAGTGTTTTAGATTGCCCTGGAAGTTTCAAAATACATTTTGTTGTTGTGTTGTTGTTGAAAGGGTTTCATGGAACAAAATTTTAAAAGTTGGGAACCACTGGACTAGGGGAATGCTATATTCAGAATATGCCTACTGAAAATTTCAGCCGTCTCTAATGACATTCTTGTGACCAAGATGGGGGACAGGAGCCAGATGATAGCACTGTTAGGTGAATCTGGAAGTGGTTGAACAGCTGGACTCAAAGAATCCTGATAAGTTCATTAGTGTCAATCCAGAGGCATGTCTTTCTCAGAATGCCATGGGGCTCCATCCTTGCCTCTGTTTTGTTCAACATCTTAATAAATCGCTTGAATAATAGTGTAGAGGTAGCCTGCTTAATCCATTTTCCCACAGAAAAAAAAATATAGGATTCATGGGGAGGAGAGTTGCCCAGCCTTAGGAATGGGTTGCTCTGTCCTTCATTGCATGGATACCCACATTGATGAAATCATAGATCCATCCAAGTATTCAATTAAGCCTTGAGGTATGCATTTTATTATTTCAAATTATTATTTTAATCTTTTATTATTGTTTAAATTTTTACATGTTCATTCCTTGTCTCTCAACTAGACAGTAAGTTTCTAAATGACAGGAATAGTTTCTTGTTTATTTTTATATCACTGACTGCACACTAGATATCTAAGTGGCCCAGTGGATGAAGTGCTGGGCTTGGTGTCAGGAAAACTTGAGTTCAAATCCAGCCTCAGACACTTACTAGTTGGATAAGTGATTTAGCCTCATTTCCCTCAGTTTCCTCATCTGTAAAATGAACTGGAGAAGGAAATGGCAAACCATTCCAGTATCTTTGCCAAGGAAACACTAAATGGGATCATGAGGAGTCAGACGTGACTGAAAGATGACAGAACAAAACTGCACACTCAACTTCCTTATAACTCTCAAGGACACTACCATACCCCTAATCATCCAGTCTCACAACCTCAGTATCATCTATTGCATCATCTTCGACTCCTCTCTCACACTCATTCCACATATCCAATCTGCTGCAGTCTTCTTGTTTTTATTTTCATAATATCTCTCATATACATCTCTCTCCTTGCACTGCTATCTCCCTTGTGCAGGTCCTTATCACCTCATGCCTGGACTATTGCAATAGCCTTCTGCTTGGTTCCCTGTCTCAAACCTTCCCTCACTGCAGCCAGTTCATCCTCCACTCAGCTGCCTAAGTGATTTGGTGCTCAGCTAGTAAGTAGAGCAGAGAGTAGAGCACTAGACCTAGCACTAGTCCTAAAACCTGAGTTGAAACCTAGTCTCAGATTTGGTTGTTCAAACATTTATTTCAAAGATATAGCAAGAACAAACATTAAAAAACAACAACAACAAAAAACCTCAACATTTCCTGGCCCCTGAGGACATAATCCTCCCTATATTATCTCAGTCCCTGGGGAGGGAAAGGGGATTAGATTCACAGGTTAACTTAGTTTTTATATAGCATTAGTCCCACTAAATTCAAGTTCCCCCCCCCCCCCCTTGTACTTGGACAAGCATCCTAGTACCCTCTCTTCTCAGGGCTTTTCTGCTGGGCTGATTGTAACATTTGGCCTGGAACCCTAGGCTTAGCGATTCTCCATGGCTCAGGGTCCTGAGTCCAGGACTCTACTCTCTACACCCAGAAAAGACAAACCAGACATCAAACCCATTTGTCAGGTCCACATGGCCTGGAGTGAGGGGAGTGAGCTGGGAAGTATGTATGAGGTGTAGTCCTTAGACTCCACCTCCTTTACCACATAGTGTCATGGTGCTGTGAATGAATGAGTCTACCTGCAGCCTTGAATGCAGAAAAAGAGAACTGCTGCGCTTGGGCAGGTAGATTTAAAATGCAGACTGTTCTGGCTATGCAGCCAATGGAAAAAGACTGCTCCTAGCCAATGTACATGAGTCCTCTACCCTCCCAGGAGCAAGTCTCAGGTATCTCTTACATGGGTAATATCATTTTAGGCAATATGGAGATATGCCACATTTTTATTATACCTGGAGTGTTCTTCCTTCTCACCTTCCTTTCTGGTTTCCATCTCTACCTTTAAGACTCAGCTCAAATCTTGCCTTCAGCAAAAAGTCCTTCTAGTCTCTATCCCATTGTCTTCCAACTGAGATTATCTCCCATTATCTCCCATTTTATTTGCATATTGTCTTTCCCATTAGACTGTGAGCTCCCTAAGGGCAGGGACCTTGTTTTTGCCTTTCTTTATATCACCCTCACTTAGCACAGTGCCTGGCACATTAGTAAATACTTATTGACTGCTTTGAACATAAGAATGCAATAAGCATTTTTGATTTTGATGCTCTTTTGCTAGATGTTTTTATTTTATTTCAGATATAAATCTTGTAGCTTGTCTTTGAGATCCTTAATTTCCATTTTGATTCCCACCAGATCTTGTTAATTTATTAGGTCAAAAATGTTTCTCTAAGCTAAATTAAACATATTGGAGTTTGTGTGACTAAAGTTTCTCTGCCAGAGGAAAGCAATATCTTCAACAAGGTGTGAAGGTGTTCTAAATTGACATTTGAGTTCAACAACTGTACCCGTGATAATATAACAACTATTTATTTGGAATATTGCATTTAACAGTGCATGTTGTCATTTAATTTAGCTAACCCTTTGAAAATGTCTTTTAAAAGCTACTAGTATGAATTTTTTCTGACCTATTATCTATGTTCTTGGCATAAAGGACTTCACTTGTTCATAAAATAAGGGAATATCTCTAAATTTCAGGAATCTGCATACATTTTGGTCTTTCTTGATCTATAATATTTGAAGTAGTTTAATGACCTAAAATTTTAAACAATCCTTACACTATGGTTTTCAAGCCTGTACAAAGGCTACTTTTAGGGTTCCTGTCTTTTATCTGTGTGGCAACAAATCAAACTTTCTATTATTGTCAAAAATAATGAACTAAATGACCCTTTAAGGCATGCTAACACTTTCCTCAAACTTACCTATTATTGAGGGTGAATATCCTCATTTGACATCATAGCACTTAATCTGCCCCACTTTCTCCCATCCCCCAAGAATGTAAGCTCACAGGGCAGAGACAGTATCACTGTTTCCTTTATATCCTCAATATGTACTAAAGTATCTGGCACATCAAGCTGTCCATTTAAAATTGTCCTTATGTACTTATGTTCTACTAAAGCTCATATTTACCTTTGCACATGCCTAATCACCCCTATTAGACAACCCCTCTCTCTCTCTCTCTCTCTCTCTCTCTCTCTCTCTGTCTCTCTGTCTCTCTCTCTCTCACACACACACACACACACTATGATTTTAATTATCTCCCCACATAAGGAAGAGATTTCTAACAACTTGAAGGAAAAGAAATATCCATTCATTATAAAATTTCCTTTTCATTTGTTCTTCCTTTACAGCTCTTGGTGGTGAAACAAGAGCTTATTGTATTTTCATAGTACAGTCAGAATTTTAGAACTTACAACTTTCTTGGAGATCATCTAGCCCAACCTCCTGGATGAACCAGTCCTAATAGTGTATACAAGGGGAGTAGATAAATTATTATCTTTATCATTTACCAGGTGTTTGTTTCCTGGAGTAGCAGAACTCAATGACCTTCTAACTTTTATTTTCATCTAGGAAACTTTGGGTATGAGGAAGGTAACTTTGATCAGAGGGGATTTGGTTTTGGAAAAGGAAGGGAGCAAATGTGTGGTGAAAAAAGCCTTGAATTTGAATATAGACTCACTCTGCTTAGAGCTTATATCACTTTAAGGAAGACATGGTGACCTCTGTAAATCTTAGTTTCTTCATTTGTAGAAGGAAGGGGGTTGACCTTGATTATGTCTAAGGTCTCTTATAGTTCTAGCTCTTCAAGAGTTTTTTTTTTAAGTGTGGGGGTGGGGTAGGAGTGGAAGGGGGATGGAGAAATTTAACAATTCCTTCTAGTCCAAGAGGTCTTTCTAAATATGTACATATTGGGGCAGGGGCAGGAATTCTGTATTTGTCAATCTTTTCCTTGATGATAGATAGGGTATTGGGGGATAGAATGCAAAGAAGGAACAAGGTTATGAAAGACACTGGGAAAGAGGCAGGGAAAGTGAAGGAACAAGCATTTATTAAGTTCACATGACCTCTGCATCTTTTTTTATTCATTGCCAATTTTTTTAATCAATTCTTACTTGCCAAGTTCTCTACTTCTCTCACCATTCTGGTTGTCTTCTTGTGGACACACTCCAGCTTGTCGTAATCTTGAAGAATGCTGTTCCGCTCAGATAACTACTGGAATATTGTTTACAAATATTAGGCAAAGTAGTGCCATAGAAAGATCCCAGTGTTCAAATAACAGTCCTCCCACTTACTACCTGTGTGACCTTGGGCAAGTCATTTAACCTCACTGTGCCTCAGTTTCTTCTTCTGTTAAAGAAGTTTGAATTAAAGTCCCTTTCAACTTTAGATCTATGATCTGTAATACAAGCAATGGAAAGCAGAGTTGATGGTTGTCTCCAATGTAGAAAATACTAAATGAGAAGGCAAAAGTGACCAAGACTGGGAAATGAATTGAATTTTTAGCCCTGCAACTGTCCCGTACCTCAGGCAAGCTCACAAGCACCATGGACAGAGTGGGTTGGAAGCCTCTTTAGAACCTCCCCCAGGTCGATTCCACTTTCTCTCTCCTGCCAACCCCAGCCCTTCTAAACCTGCTGTGCATGCCACCAGATTTATCCCGGTGGAGGGAATGAAAGGTTGTCAGGCCGCCCCAGAACGCTGCAAGACCGGGGAATAGTGACGGGCCCAGTGACGCTTCAATGGTTGCCTCGGGGACTGGGGGCTTGCAGGGCCCAGCGGGGTACCACAGGGTTCAGTGCGTCCTCACTCGGGTGAAAGCTGCGCTCGGGGCTTGGAGGTTGTAGAGGCCATGGGCTCTGGCTGCAGCTTCTCTGCGCAGCTGGAGCTCCTACTAGGAGCGTTGCTCCTACTGCTGGTGGGCAGAGACCTGGCGGAGGGAAATAACGCCACCGAGCTCAAGACCCCCAACTTACTCATTTCGGAGGGCGGTGAGAGACTGCAGCTGGGCTTAGGCGAGGGCGGGAGTGGGGAAGGTAGAAGGCCAGGGACTACGGGCTCAGGCTAGAGAGAGAGAAGGAGGGAGGGAACTTGCTCAGAGCCAGTTTGGGATCCCCTAGTTAAACTTCAAGTGCTTTGGTTGAGGCAGGGGTGGGGGTGGGGGATAAGTGGAGGAGGGATGGGAGAGGGGGTTGGCAGCCCTGGGGAGAGGGCCTGGGGAAGTACGAGTTACCTTCCTTTCCCAGGCATCAGCGAGGAAGGTTTCCCGGACTTGCCGCCTGTTAACCCTCACTCATTTTCAAGCTCCAGGGAAAGCCCCTTACTAGAAGGTGAGCGTGTTGATGATGCTTTTGAATGTGCTAAGTGTGTCAATAGGAGCTGTGCCACTCCAAAGTGAGGGGACCTGTAGGGGCCACGTTCTGACTATGACATCACTAGAGCGCTGGTCCCAAGGGCCAGGCAGGTCCGCCCTCCCCAGAAAGAAAGGGCAAGAACCGATTTTCTCTCCCTGGTTTACAGCGCTGGGTGGGGGGGGGGGGGGTGGAGGGGGGGAGAAGAGATATAATCACGAATGGTGACATTGTCTACTTAGAAAATCTAAGTAGAATGTGTAACAGAAACACATTCCTACTTGAGAGCTTTTCTCTGTCTTCCTCACTCCACCCAACAACTCCTTTTTTGTTTGTTTGTTTTGTTTTGAGGGTGGTCACCTAAGAAAACTTTTAGTCAACTTCCTCAATTCTGTTGTGTACTACTTTTTCTTAGTCCCAACTTTAAGAAAGCAATTCCCTACCACTACCACTTTCCACCTTCCCCTGTGACACCGCCCTGTCCTCACTTCACAACGATTTTTTTTTTGTTGTTTGTTTTTGGAATACAGAGAAAGTATGTTTTTTAGCATCACTGAGCAACATAAGGGTCTCTGGATTGTGATATGTATATATGTGAATATAAACACACAGTGTCCCTAAAGTTTCAGTGAAGTTTTAGGATTTAATAGCTTTTGGAATAGCAAATATGTAGATATAGATAGATACATGTACAAATATAAATATGACTATACTTATGTCCATATTTGTATTTGTATCTATATCCATATCTATGTTTATATCAGTATCTATATCTATATATCTATTGTTCCAAAAGTTTTAATAGTTTTAAGCAATTAAAGCATAAAACTGAACTAAGATTTTTGGGACACTGTGTTTATATTCACACATATATGTATCAGCATGCTTCCAGTAAGTCACACAACTGTCCCAGGTCACTTCTTACCCAAGCAATAACACCAGACAAGGAACTTAACTTGTGACTGTCTCAAATAAATCCAGAGGAGCCGTTGCTATTGTACCTGCCTGGTACATAAATTTGCTACATTCTACTGGCTCATTAAACAGTTACTTGTATTGATTAGTTGCTCATGTGCTTACAAACAAAAACTTAGGTGCAGATTTTGATTTTTTGAGCTTCCTATAGTTGAGTGATTTCCCTTTGCCCAGGACTAGTCATGAGATTACCTCCTAGTCCAGTTGGTGGTCTCATGGCTTTCAGACAAGCTATCTATCTATCTATCTATCTATCTATCTATCTATCTATCTATCTATCTATCTATCTATCT